AGTAGATAGATAAATCGATCCCGAGACACGGTTACCGTCGAGGCATGTTAAGCGGACCCGGATCGATATCTGAACAGCGATCAGTTGGGGCAGGACTGGACGCGTCAGCTGTATTTATGACTCTTGTTTCTATATGACGCTAATGGCATTTGGGAGCGGGACATAGGTGTGGTGTTGGAATCTAGGGGCCGCGTACTTAGAATTTTCGGTGTATGTGTGTGTGTCGTGGTTGGGGGGGGGGTGACTTTGGGAGTGGCACTTAGCTGTGGTGGTAGACCAAGGGTATGTAAGATTTATTGAGTCTGAGAGGGTGGTGGTGGTTGTATGGTATTGATATTTGATAAGGATTTGAAGGGGGCTGGTGCTTGTGGTAGTGAGTTGTTAATATTGGATAAGGACGTTTCGGGGTGGTGGTAGGGTGTGGTGTTGCTATTTAAGAGGGACGTTCTGGATGGTGGTGGTGATGGTGATGTGGATATTTGATAATGAGGTTGCGGATGGTGATGTGGTGTGGATATTTTACAAGGGGGTTGTTGGTGGCGGTGGGAAAAGTAAATTGTTGTCACTGGTACGGAAATGGATTTACAAAGTGTTAATTTTAATTGAAATAATAAGTCATTTCTCACTTGAATAGGTAGCTAAAGTATACATACAAATAATGTAGCATATGACAGCAGATTTTAAAATATTGCTTTTTTTATTGCACCAAGAAACGCTTTTAAACTTATAAAAGTTATAGAACTAATCTCTTTTATTTTAGCGCATAATAGTGCACATTGATTTTTTAAAAAAAATGCTCAGATATTTTAATGGCCTATAGTTGTTGTCAATACAAACTGAAACATCTTCAGGACATACTCACTAGTAGTTCTTGACAGTTCAAAGTGAAAATTCTTCAAGATAATATCACAAGCAGTTCTTGACAGTACAAAGGGAAAAATCTTCAGGATAAACTCACTAGTAGTTCTTTACATCTTCATTTCATGTTTGAAAATGCAATAAGTTTTTTCACTATCTTTTATAAAGTTTCACCTTACTGTTATAGAGAGTCAACAAACGATATATAAATAAATGAATATGCATAAATGAGACAGATTTACATATTACGACGGGAAAAAAATTATACAATTGAGTAGACCCATTGATTCACCAGTGGGACCACCACATATCACAGTTTTTGGTATTATGTATGTATAATTTTAAACAGATACAAAATAGTTTTTTTTAACTTGTCGGCACAGGTTACCAGAAAGACGTGTTTTGTCAACATCTCAACTCATTCGTTAACGTCCATCTGATATATAATTTCAGGAAGCTTTTTGGATGAATACTGTCAAGTCTCTTCAGTTGTCTGATGCCACCAGCAAGCCTTTTGTCAAGTCTCTACAGTAGGCTCAGTCATCTTGGAAGCCTTTTGTCAAGTAAATAGGCTCAGTCATCTTGGAAGCCTCTTTGTGTAGTCTTCTATATCCATTAGAAAACTGCAATAGAGAATGACGTCTTACTTAAGGTTTTATGCTGGATAATATAACACGTTTTGATGTCTTCATATCAATTTAATGTAATCCCAAACTTTATCCCATGTTTCGGCATGACAATTATTTTATCTACATGAGAAATGTTTGTCAAATAAAGATACCATATATTATTGAAGTTGCAACCTTTACAATTGTACTCTTCTAATAAAATTTCGCCAAAGTACCGAATGTTATAATTTAACATGTCTTCTAAGGCAATGATCCTCATGTGCTGGCCCGTGAGGGTTACGTTGTCTGTCCACACAAAATGAAGACTTATAATTTAAAAAAAAAAAAAAAGGAAAATAAATCTGGCATCGGTCCCTTTTAGTGAGGGTTACGTTGTCTGTCCACCAAAAATGAAGACTTATAATTTAAAAAAAAAAAAAAAAAAGGATAATAAATCTGGCATCGGTCCCTTTTGTCATTTCTGATCTCCTCAACCTGTCCGCCAAACTTAAAAAACTTTTCAAAACCCTGATCTAAGAGACATCAAAAACTACAAAATCAACGCGGTCCCTAATAGTTGAACCTCTCAGAGATTTACAAAACTTTTAACATGCTAATATAGTGTTAGATCAGTGGTTCTTAACCTGGGTTCGATCAAACCCCAAGGGTTCGGTGAGTCAGTCTCAAGGCTACGGCGTAGGTCCAAAAATATCAGGAAACAAATCATATTTTATTTTTCCCTTTAAGAATGGTTCTGTGAATGCGCATATGAAACTGGTGGGGTTCGTTACCTCCAAAAAGGTTAAGAACCACTGTGTTAGATGATAAATGAATGAGAGTATTTTATTTAGCATGGCATGATATGTTACAAATAAAGTCATTACCTAATCAGAAATGCGTGCTCTCCTCGGCGTGTGCCAGTCGTATCTGGCTGATTTCCGGAAGACCTCTTAGACTTCTCGGGACGACTGAAGAATAAACATAGTCGTCGTCATCGACTTTTTTCTTCACATCGGCGTCACCGTTGGACGGCCCAGCGCCGCTCGACGTTGAAGGAGGAACCGAGGGATAGGAAACCGGCCCACCGGGGTTGATGAAACCCACCGTGGCGTAGTCACTCTCTGCTGGATGCGGGTCGAAGCTTTGATACATTGTTGCCTCTGAATCGTTCTTATTTTGTTGGAGGTGATCATACGATGGTTCATCATCACCATCAGAGCCAGGGTTTTTAAACTTGACTGATTTTACAACACGGCCTTTCCTGCCTAACGTGCTAGAGGTTGTGCCGGGGTCAAGGCCTTCAGACAGTGCGTTTTCAAAGCGCACGGACTTCAACGAGGATGCTTTGTTGTGGGGTTTAAACGTACTTAGGTTGACGGTGGACCCTTCCTCCGGAATATCCATCGCCGGATTAACGAATTCAATGGGATCAGGCGTGGATCCTTTGATAATTTTGTGCGTCGTAGTCCCGATGTCAATGAGGGTAAAGTACGGACGCTTGAACGTATTCCAGTCGCTACCGGCGTCTTTGTAACTCGGGTACCTCGGAATCACGCCATCAAAGTTGGCCAGATTTTTCATGATTGTGTTGTTTTCTGTACCATCTTGAGACCCGCCGCTTGAGTCGGAGCGCTGTCCCGTGGAGCCGTTTTCCATGGTTCGATATTTCTTGCCCTGCTGAAACCGCCTACAACAAATTACGGCCACAATGATGAGGACGATTAGCAACAAGCCGGCCACTACGCCAACGACAATGGCAATAATTTTATCCTTGTCACTGTTATCAGCGGTGTTGTAGACGATGGAGGATGTAATGTTGGTCGCGCTGGAAGATAACTCTAATGTTGCAGATGTTGCGGATGTTATCGATGTCATCAGTTGACTGACCGTATCGGTTTTGGAAAGATTCGATCCGCTAACCGTGCTCAGCAGTGTCGCCAGTGTGGCGTCCGTTAAACCAATTTCAGTCGGATGTGGTAAAGATAGCGTAGAGGTTGATGAAGTAGTAAGTCCTATTGTGGCATCGGTTATGGAGGGATGCAACAATGTACTGAAATGGGCCAGCGAATTTGTGGCCCCCACGGCTTCAGTAGATTGTAAATGCGTAGCGTCTAGATACGATTGCAAGTTAGAGAGTGTTGCTGTAGCGTCGTATTGTGTTGTTGTCGCAGTAGCAGAATCCCTGGATGGTGAAGAAAGTGTCATTGTCTCAGAATGTGCAGGCGTTGCTGTTGGTGGGACTCCCGCGGTTAATGAAGTTGGTGTGATAGTATTTGTTACCGAAATTAGGTGTGCAGTCGTGTCTACTGAAGCTGGTGATTTTACTAAGGTTACTAGAGACGATGCATCAATTGTTGTAGCACCTGAAAGATAAGTCATTGGAGAAATACGGGTAACAGAAGTGGATATTACACCAAGCGAGCCAATGTCTGAACTAGAGATGGACAGAGCCGTAGGGGTGATGGACCTTCTCAAAGTCGGCAGTACTCCAGTTGTATTGATTGTAATACCAGTTTCAAGTGACAGGGTGCTACTCTGCTTACTTTGTAGACTAATGTCGATAGGCATCGTAGGCAAAACAATCGTAGGATTTACAGTTAATGTATTGTCTGGGGAGTTGGTAGAATGGAATGCGCCTGTTGGAATCAAAGACAGAGTACTGGCCAGTGAATGTGTAGGCACACTGACAGCTGGAGTTGTTACTGAAGCACTGTCTAGGGTTATTGAGGTAGGCACAGCACTCGTTGTAACTATTAATAAAGCACTGTGAGGGGATACTGTAGTAGGAACAGTGCCCGTTGTAGCCATTACTGAAGCACTGTCTAGGGTTATTGTAATAGGCACATAACCCGTTGGATATATTACCGAAGCACTGCCGAGAGATAGTGTAGTAAGCACAGCACCCGATGCATCTATTAATACATCACTGTTAAAGGATATTGTAGTAGGCACAGCACCCGATGCATCTATTAATACATCACTGTTAAAGGATATTGTAGTAGGCGCAGCACCCATTGTAGCTAATACGGAATCACTGAGTAGAGATATTGTAGTAATTACAGCCCCTTTTGTAGATATTTCTGAAGCAGTGTCAAGGGATAAAGTAGGCGTAGCACTCGTTGTAGCTTTTTCTGAAGCAATGAGTAAAGATATTGTAGTAGACGCAGCACCCGTTGGATTTATTACCGAAGCACTGTCAAGGGATGTTGTAGTAGGCACAGCACCCGGTGTAGCAATTACTGAAGCACTGTCAAGGGATATTGTAGTAGGCACAGCACCAGGTGTAGCAATTACTGAAGCAATGTCAAGGGATGTTGTAGTAGGCATTGCACCCGGTGTAGCAATTACTGAAGCACTGTCAATGGATATTGTAGTAGGCACAGCACCCGGTGTAGCAATTACTGAAGCAATGTCAAGGGATATTGTAGTAGGCACAGCACCCGGTGTAGCAATTACTGAAGCACTGTCAAGGGATATTGTAGTAGGCATTGCACCCGGTGTAGCAATTGCTGAAGCACTGTCAAGGGATATTGTAGTAGGCATTGCACCCGGTGTAGCAATTACTGAAGCACTGTCAAGGGATATTGTAGTAGGCATTGCACCCGGTGTAGCAATTACTGAAGCACTGTCAAGGGATATTGTAGTAGGCACCTCACCCGGTGTAGCAATTACTGAAGCACTGTCAAGGGATATTGTAGTAGGTATAGTACCTGATGGATTTATTACTGAAGCACTGTCTAGGGATATTGTATTAGGCGTATATTCCGTTGGTTTTATTACTGAAACACTGTCTTGAGAAATTGTAGTAGGCACAGCACTTGATATAGCAATTATTGAAGCACTGTCTAGGGATATTGTATTAGGCGTAACTTCCGTTAGTTTTATAAATGAAACACTGTCTTGGGAAATTGTAGTTGGCACAGCACTTGATATAGCAATTATTGAAGCACTGTCTAGGGATATTGTATTAGGCGTAACTTCCGTTGGTTTTATAAATGAAACACTGTCTTGGGAAATTGTAGTTGGCACAGCACTTGATATAGCAATTATTGAAGCACTGTCTAGGGACATAGTATTAGACGTAAAACCAGTTGGAACAATTAATGAAGCACTGTCAAGGGATATTGTAGTTGGCACAGCACTCATTGTAGCAATTACTGAAGCACCGCCCAGAGATAGTGTAGTTGGTACTGTACCTGTTACTGCAGTAAACACCGAGCCACTGATTATGGATGTTGTAGCAGACACAGCACTCGTTGGTGTTGCCACTGAAGCACTTGTCGGGGACATGCTACTTTGCAGTGACTCTGTCGAAGCTAATGATGATGCAATATTTTTAGATGTTATAGTTGTTTCAGCACCTGCTGGAGATAATTCTGAAGTACTATCTAGGGGCGTCGTAGTTGACAAAACACCTATTGGAGTGATCGATAATAGAATGTTCAAAGATACTGTACTACTAGAAGAGGATGTCAGGGCTTTTGACGGGGCACTGTCAAGTGATTCCGTTGTCAATGTCTTGGTAGCTGTAGTGTCCAAAGAGACAGTGTTCAATACGTGTGTCGAAGCAACGAAAATCGAAGTGCTGATGGGTAACGTGTTTAGGTTTGTAGTCTGAAATATTGTTGTTTGGTTCAAGTTGTTTGTATTTTCTACAGAAATCGTGTTTGTCCTAATATTGCTTAAGGTACTGTCTTGTGATATCCTGTTCGTATCAGATACTGCTGCACTCCCACTGTTAACGCTGTCAACGCCCATAGAGAAGATTTGTGTGCTTGGTAAAGTCGATGTAGGATTTATTGAGTCAGTTATAATGTTTGCAGTCCGTGTGGCTGAACTGTCAGTTATAATGTTTGCAGTCGGTGTGGCTAGGCTGTCAGTTATAATGTTTGAAGTCGGTGTGGCTGAGCTGTCAGTTATAATGTTTGCAGTCGGTGTGGCTGAACTGTCAGTTATGTTTGCAGTCGGTGTGGCTGAGCTGTCAGTTATAATGTTTGCAGTCGGTGTGGCTGAACTGTCAGTTATAATGTTTGCAGTCGGTGTGGCTGAGCTGTCAGTTATAATGTTTGCATTTGTAGCGGTTAAGCCATCAGTTTTAGTCACTGAAGACTCGTATCCTTCAGTCTTAGTTGCTGTTGGTGAGGCAACAATCGTCTGTGGGTCAACTTTTGATATGTTCGTTACGTAATCTGACGCGCTGAAAGTTACTACTCTCGACATTGTTGCCTGTGACGACGCAGAAAGCTGACTAGCGCCACTCGCTGGGAGATATGTTGATGATGTTTGAGATGTCGATCCCAAGGTGGCTGTCGCCGTGGAAGCTGTTCCTGTGGTGGCGGGATATGTGAGGGTTAAGTCTACGGCTATACTTGTTTCAGAGATTAAAGCTAAGTCGCTAGTAGTGAAGGTGGTAACTAGGTTAACAGATGAAGTTGTAGGCGTCAAGGGTAGGGTAAATAAATCTGATACAGTTTCTACTACATGCAAGTCAGAAAAGCTAAATACGTCGCCTGGGCGTAAGGCAGATAGTAGCGACAGTGATACTACTGGAGTACCTAAGCTACTCGATACGAAATGAGAATATTGGCTAGTAAAAATGGTAAATAGTTCAGAAAAAGTTTGTTTTGATGTTTCACTTAAGGTAATTATGTTAGTGAGCTGTTCCTTGCTAGATAGTGACGTAAATGCGTTTTCTGGAGTTTGAGATATAACTGGTAACTTTATAATAGATGAAGAAGAAAACAATGAGGCATTGGACGAGGATGAGAGATCTGTCAGTGGATGGTATACTATGGAAGATAAAGGCGTTAAACTGTCTGTCTGTAATGGTGTCATGATTGTAGCAGGGGTTAGTAATTGTGTGTCAACGGCGTTAAGTGATTGTGTGCCTGCAAGGGTAATTGAGTGCGTATCTACAGAGGTGAGGGATTGTGTACCAACAGTTGTGAGTGATTGCGTGCCTACGGAGGTGAGGGATTGTGTACCTAGAGAGTTAAGTGATTGCGTACTAGCAAAGTTGAATGTTTGTGTACTAACAGAGATGATTGACTGTGTACCCACAGAGATGAGTGACTGTGTACCTACAAGGGTGAGTGTCTGCGTACCTACATGATTGGCAGAGGATAATGTCATAAAATCGCTGTAGTAGGATGGAGTTATTAGGATCATGGTACTTTCTGCATTTGCGATAACGCTTGAGGTGGCAGAGGTACCAGAATAAAGAAAGAATGATCCATCAACTGGACTAATGGTGATTAGCGAGCTATCAAAACGGGTGGTTAGTGTTGGGGTCAAAGAGTCAGTCGAATGCGATATGATCGTTAATTCGATGGAGGATGGGTTAATTGGAGTAAACGTAGAGGTCATATAGTCTAAGTTACTTGTAGGTAATGTATTAGCCGAGTTATAGTGTGTTGAGTTATTATCAAAACTATGTAGAAATGATGATGAAATATCAATATCAGTATTTGTCACTGTTGTTAACATACCGACAGCTGTAGGAGTGGTCAACGCCTCTGGTTTTAACATCTTCGTATCAACTGATACGGTCATTGTTGCTGACGTCACAACGAGCGGGCTTACCGAAGCCGTGTACGTCACTAAAGATGACTTAACCGCGTTAGTGAAACTAAGCGATGTGTCGTGTTTCAATGTGGTTAAGTCAGGGGGAATGGAATCCGGTGTTAAAGTAATGGCTACGTTTGTAAGTTCATTAAAAAGTGTGGCTAAAAAATCTGAATTAGTGAGACGGTCAGTATCTACTTTAGTAAACGTACCTGGGTTAGAAAAACTACTAGAAAATTGAAAAGTTGTGGAAGCCATCACAGTTGCAGACGATGGTCCCGGAGTTTCAGACGATTGACCCATACTTTCAGACGATTGTCCAACTATTGTAGTCGATTGCACCATAGCTGCAGACGTTTGACCGATAGTTTCAGATGATTGCCCCATTGCTGCAGACGATTGACCCATAGTTTCAGACGATTGTCCAACAATGGTAGTTGATTGTCCCAAAAGTGTAGTAGATTGCCCCAAAGTTGTAGTAAAGTGTCCCACAGGTGTAGTAGATTGCTCCAGAGGTGTAGTAGATTGTCCCACAATTATAGTAGATTGCCCCAAAGGTGTAGTATATGGTCCCAAAGGTGTAGTATATTGTCCTATAGTTGTGCTAGATTGCCCAACCGTTGTGAGCAGTTGCCCCATAGTTAAGGATGTTGTTGCAGACCCAGCAATCGATGTTGGATTGGACACGGTAATCCGCACATCGGTCACTGTTGACAATGACGATGCATGTGTTGAAAGCGTTGGCGTGAAGGATGCTGGAGTGAATTCTGGAGTCCCAAAAGTCAATACAGTGGACATCGTGAGAATGTTCGACGTGCTAAGTCCAGAGACGTACGCCACATCGGTACGCACCGTTTGCGTTGACGTCGCAGGAGTCGAGAGTGGGGTTGGAGTCGGCGTAATCAATGACGTGGCCAGTGTCGCTGTCACTGTCATCGTGTCCGCAGTCGTGGGTACTATTGATGAGGACGCTAACGTCGATAACGACGTTGTTGACGTTGTTGAGATTGTTGGGTCAGGCGAGCAGGTTTCATTTTGAACCAAGCCAATGACTTCTTGCACAACAGTATAATCAAAGAAATTCCAGAACAGCTGTATTCCGAAGGGGCACATACTAGTGTTCTGAGGTCTGTAAACTTTGCACTTATTAGGATTAGCAATTGAAGTTGGGTCGTTGGGTGTTTTCAAAATTGCGCAGAATAAAGGAGTGTCCTGTTTTGGAACTTGACATAACATGCTTCTGAAATTTTCAGAACGTGAAATATTCGAAGGATCGGTGGTGGTTTTGATTATAACGGACACTGAGCTGTTTTTAGCGTCATCCTTATAAACAGTGCACGTTAGATTCGTAGTACACAGACAATGGAAAAACCTGTGAAGTTATTTTTTAAAAATCCGTTTAGTAAATTGATACTGACAGCAGTAGCAATATAAAAAAAAATTGTTCTATTGATTAAAACTTGTTAAAAAATGGCTCTACTATTGTAAATACGTAATATATTTAAACAATATTTATATTGCGAAATTAATGACATAACTTACTCAGTGTAGTTTCCACTATCGAACTGTAAGGTAGTGCCGTTGATGGTCAAAGAAAACGCCACTTCACATACAACAAGACTTCCTTGTAGGACTAGCGCGAAGAAAATTAAAGACTTCATTTTGCATGCTTCAGGTTACTGTAATGAAGAAAACAAAAACAAAAAAAATGGGGTTTTCACAATAAATAAGACATAATTAAACGATAAATCAAAGACATTTTCTGTTTGTTTTTTTTTGTTTTGTTTTTTTTGGTTAAAGGGCGTGAGTTTGAATTTTACCGTATTACTTTAAACAAATAGTTTTTTTTTTTAGTTTTTTTTTACATACAGCATCTCAAAATAATAAACTGGTGTACAGGAAAAAAAGGTTAAAGTGTGGACACGATCAAAACAGCAGGGCTGAAAAGAAACCGCGATGCCATATGATTACGTAAATTATATGCTGTTTCTTTCTAATTCATGTACACAGTTAACATACTAACGCTAAGCTTTCTTTAAACATAATGAGTTTTACAAAGTATATTTTGCTTTATATGATCACCTGGCAATTGGATCTATGCACATCTGACAAACGCAAGCAGACGTTCAAGCCGCGTTCAAGCTACGGGAGTTTCAGATACTGTTAATTTTTTACACATTCCGCATTTTTACTTCCAGGTGACCACTTCCATTGCCATATTATGAAACTGGGAAAAAGTACGTTTTAAAGTGCGGATTATATATTGACAAATTCCAATTATGCTAGGGTCATGTTAATTTTTTTGTTGTTGGTTAAAGTGTGTTCTTATCAGGAGCTCTTTCATGCTATGAAATGTCCCCAACGTTTGTTGTACTTGTCATTGACTTACTTGACAATGGACTTTATCTGGTATCGTAGATGTTTGAGTACAATCTATGTTTGATATTGATTTTGTTCGGGCCTGAATCGATACGTTGTGAATTCCAAGCGTTGTGGAAATTATTCGCGAGATTCCATTAGCCAAGATATTTTAAACTGTTTCATTTGAGAGATACTTACTCACGGTGGCCTGGAGATTATTTAAGAAATAAATGCATCCTTTTGACTATAAGACTTTCACTACATAATATGAACAATAGACGTTTCTAAAGGCTCACGTTGTTTCAATACATGGTTAACGCACGAAAAAAAAAGAAATAGTGATGTCCTGTATTTCATATCTTTACAGACCAAATAAATCACTTGACTTACTCTAGAATGAATACATC